GAGACAAATAGCGAAATGCAAACTTGCTCTAGCTCTACAAGGGTTGCAAGCCACCTATCCAACAATTCTAGTTGCAATGATCTATTTGCACACAATCTACTTGACCACTACTCACTAAGAGCTCTCACAAAAGCTACACTAAAGAGCTCCACTAGATATGTTTAAAGCACAAGGCAAGCTCTCAATTCTAATTACACTAAAGAGCTTGCTATATCTAGTTTGCGGAAATGTAAATGAGTAAGTGAGACGATTATACCGCCGGGTCGTGGAGTGAACCAATTACACGATGAATATATATCCAATCACCGGGAGAATGCAAATGACAAGAGACAACCAATTTTTCTCCCGAGGTTCACGTGCTTGCCAACACGCTAGTCCCCGTTGTGTCGACCAACACTTGGTGGTTCGGCGGCTAAGAAGTGTTTCACAAACCTCGTCCACACGATAGGACACCGCAAGAACCGACCCACAAGTGAGGTAACTCAATGACACGAGCAATTTACTAGAGTTACCTTTCGGCACTCCGCCGGGGAAGGTACAACTCCCCTCACAATCACCGAAGGCGGCCACGAACAATCACCAACTCGTGCCGATCCTTCACCGCTGCTCCAACCGTCTAGGTGGTGGCAACCACCAAGAGAAACAAGCGAAATCCGCAGCGCAACACGAATACCAAGTGCCTCTAGATGCAATCACTCAAGCAATGCACTTGGATTCTCTCCCAATCTCACAATGATGATGGATCAATGATGGAGATGAGTGGGAGGGCTTTGGCTAGGCTCACAAGATTGCTATGTCAATGAAAATGTGCTGGAGAGCTCCCTTGAGCCGGCCATGGGGCTATAAATAGAGCCCCAATGAAATAGAGCCGTTGTACCCCCTTCTTTGGGCTGTAGCAGGGGTGACCGGACGCTCCGGTCCGATCGGCCGGACGCTGGCCCTCGGCGTCCGGTCACGTGATTCACGCCACGTGTCCCCCGCTTCAAATCTTTGTTCGTCAGATTTCAGCGGTCATGAAGCTGACCGGACGCTCGATAAATCTGATCAAAGCTGAAGCCCCAGCGTCGTCGTCGTTTCGAGAAGCCCCGAGGCGTATTTCTTGACCGGAGACGCAGTCCAGTCCACCTTGACCGGACGAGATGAAGCATCCGGTGCTCAACCCTAGCCCACTGTACCGCTTGAGTCGTACTTATGACGGGACTTGAGCGATCGGTGTCGGTGCTTCTGGATTCAGCGTCCGGTCACACAGGACCGGACGCTTGACATCATTTCGATCAACTCCATTTCAACTCTTACTTCTTCACCCTTGCTCAAGTGTGCCAACCACCAAGAATTTTGCATCCGCGCAATAGAAAATAGACATTTCATTTTTCCCAAAGCGCGAATCCATCTCAACCCTACAAACACCTTGTGCACATGTGGTAGCATATTTACACAAATATTATCAAGGGTGTTAGCACTCCACTAGATCCTAAATGCATATGCAATGAGTTAGAGCATCTAGTGGCACTTTGATAACCGCATTTCGATACGAGTTTCACCCCTCTTAATAGTACGGCTATCAATCCTAAATGTGATCACACTCTCTAAGTGTCTTGATCACTAAAACAAAATAGCTCTTACAAATTATACCTTTGCCTTGAGCTTTTTGTTTTTCTCTTTCTTCTTTCCAAGTCGAAGCACTTGATCATCACCATGCCATCATCTTTATCATGCTATGATCTTTATTTGCTTCACCACTTGGAGTGTGCTACCTATCTCATGATCACTTGATAAACTAGGTTAGCACTTAGGGTTTCATCAATTCACCAAAACCAAACTAGAGCTTTCACAAGGACAGGGGGAAGGAGAAGGAGAAGGACAAGGACAAGGACAAGGAGAACATCAATTTATTCATATTTGTGGCTGCATTCCTTGATCCAAGGTACAAGTTATCTTTGTACACAAAGATTAGCGTTGAAGAGATATTTGGTGAGGAAAGATGTCAATTGGTTTGGGCAGCAATTAATACTTGTGTGAGAGAGTTGTTTGAAGAATACAGGAACATGTATGCTACAAGTGAAGAAACAACTCAAGTAATTGATGCTAATCAATCTAAGGGAGGTGCAGGAGGAATGCTTAAAGAAAAAAATCGCCAAGAGGATGAACCCGAGCAATTGTTCTACCAAAGCACCAATAAATCTGAACTTGAGAAATATCTTTTTGAAGAAAGCGAAGACACAGTAAAAGAAAATGGACATTCTTGGTTGGTGGAAAGTCGATTCAAATAGGTTCCCAGTTTTGAGTCACATGGCTCGTGATGTGCTTGCTATACCCATCACAGTGATGGCGTCGTGAGTCCGCTTTTAGCACGGTGGACGTATCTTGGATGACTTCCGTACCTCTCTTACTCCATTCATGCTAGAGGCTTTAGTATGCACGCAGGATTGGCTTCAAGGCCTACTGTTGACATAAAGGAGAGTACGGAGGAATTGGCCATAATAGAAAAAGGTATCATATTTGCTTACTTGCTTGCATTTGTGTATTTCTTGTATGCAATATGAAATATGTAACTATCTTTGTGCATTTCAGAGTGGATAGAAGAATATGGCGGCAAAGGGAAAAAGAATGAGCAGCCTTCATCGGCACCTCAAGTCACAAACACCAAGCAAAGCAACAATCAGACCTCGACTCCCTCCAAAACTTAAAGGTATATATGTCAAGTATGAATGGAGTATTCAGTATTATTTTTTGAAATATGTTGTGCATGATTTCAACCATCAACTTTATTGCGAGTGCTTTGAACTCGAAAGCTACAACTAGACCTGGATTCTCGCCACTAGAGTATGGAGGACTAGAGTATGGACTTTGGACACTCGACAGTCACTTGCTCTTGTGTCAGTTGGGTGATGTGTTTCACTATTTTGTTTGAACTTCTGTTCTTGTGTGATGCGTTGGCAAGCAGCAGGCTTAAAGCCTTTAACTGTGTCTTTGTGACTGTGTCGTGGTTTGCACTTGCATTGCATGTTGCATGTGCACAAGACTACTAAGTAAGTATCATGTATGTCAGGTCTGAGATGTGACTCTATGGCTATGCAACTATGCCTCTGTCTTAGTGTTTCACTGTTTGTGATTATCTGCGGTTGAAAACTTGAACTTATCAGTTATCAATTATTCTGTCCGGTTCAAATTCTATGCAAATTCTGTGATGTTTGCTGTGATTCTATAATTTCGGGTATATTGGGTATACCCGAACCCGAAATTGCGGGTACTGTTTTTCTGGGGATGTTATCGGGTAGTACTGTTCATTACCCGAATTTCCCAAAACCCGAACTACCCGACCCGAATTATTCGGGTAACCCGAACGCCCAGAGTTAGTTTCGCTGAACAAATTACAGAGACAGAAGGAACGAGGGATATATGACCGTGTTTTAGTTGACCACCTGGACCGCTGGACGTGATGCCATCGAGTTAGTCGTTCGATGTGTTTGGAATGGTTGAACTGGTCGCCGTCCCTGATGCTTCGATGCAATGTGCCGTGCGGTACTGCGGTGACCAAGTTGGGACAATTTTCTTCTCGTGTTTGCGAAGGACCTGGTCGATGTTTGTTGATCGTTGCTGATTGACTCAGTTAAAAATGACGGGAAAAAAAGAGCAGTTTAACGGGGCTGGTGCAGACTGACTGAATCGTACTCGTTCCACTTGCATGTGTTCCAGTAGAGTGAATAGAAAGATCAATAAAACTCCCACCACTTTCTTAAGCTGCAATCTAGTGGAGAACACATTTTCTTTCATTGCACCTTCTCTGATGCTGCCGAGGCTCTTGGAATGTACTTCGTCTCTGATTTGCAAGTAGACTGAATTCTTTACAACTGTACACCTCTCAGAAAAGAGTTCCAATAATCCGTAACATACCAGAATGGGAGATTGAGGCATATTATAGAGGACATCGGAAGCATCAAGAATCTAATCCATAGTGTTGCAGAAACAGTAACTATGAATGCTCATGTTAGAGATAATGGCAGCTTCGAACTTCAATGTTCTAAGATCAGACAGATCTATGGCTGCCTTTTACAAGATAAAGCTTGTGAATGGCCTAGTTGGCCAAACTATGTAACATTTCTTGATATGAATGAAAACCATTTCTGAGTGTTTTTTCTTAAGAAAAGGTTGCAGAAAGAAATTGCTGTGCAGATATTGACACCCCCTCTCCATCACAAAAAGAATACCATTCTTGCTTTGGAGAAACCTATGAATCTCAAATTTGGCCAACTAAATTAATATTTATTATAGGTAATAAATGTTATTAAACAAATCGTGGAATATATTTTCATAACAAATCTATTTGTTGGAGATATAAATGTTGAAATATTTTCTATAAACCTAAAATGTAGGCATTTTTTGTGAGATTGAGTTAGTCTTATTACACATTTTTTAGTCAGAGGTACTTGCCACATTTGAAGAGAAATGTACTCGCAGTTTGTAGATGCCGCCCTTTGGCCTGTCCTAACTCCTAACCAACACAAATATCAGTACATATAAAAAGTAGCTATTCAGTAACAAAAGCTTGAAAACGCTGCAGAGGCCAAGACCCAGAGGTAAACTGCAGATTACCAGAGCAGTTTGTTAGCATGCAGCAGAGAAACCCGCCCAACTTGAAAACCAGGCCAACATCCTGGTCAAAAAGGTACATTTGCTGCAAAATCCACTGCTGATTATAATTAAATAGAACATCAAAAAGCTACAACGCCACCCGACAACAAGATGCCATGGGCCTCACAGCGAGCATAGGGTTCATTCCGCTTAAGGCTCAGCACCAATGCACCATGGATCTGACCACAACGAACACATGTTACTCCTAACATTACACAGCTATAGCAAATGTTGCTTCTACTAAAGATCAATCAGACGAAATTTCGAGTTAACACTCAATAATACATGGTGCAGCGCCAATACCTCTGCCTAAAGGAGCAAATCTAGGGAGCACATCCATTTACAAGAGAAGTTCATCAGCATTAACTTCAAGCCTTCCTTCTGCGCTTCTTTCCTGTAGAAGCATTTCCTGATGCCTCCTGCTCTATTTCAGCAGCCTTGACTTCTTTCTCCTTCCGCTTCTCCTTGTCAGCATCACTCTTCGCCGGAGTACCAGCATTTTTTGGTTTCCGACCAGGCCTAGCTTTTCCTTCAGTGGACTTGCCTTCATCTTTTGAACCCTTGCCTTTGCTAATAGCCTCCTTAGGTTTGCTCGTACTCTTATCATCTTTAGGCAATTCATCCTTTGTCTCAGTTGATACACTAGCTTTGTCCTTGGAGCTCTTCTCAAGTTCCTTCTTAAGGTTGGTGCCAGTTTTAGGTGTTTCTTTGGCATCCTTGCCAGCAGTTTTCCCCTTTGTGCTCGGAGTAGCTGAGTTACTAGGTGTCCCATTGCTGGATCGCACACCTTTTGGACGCCCTCTTTTCTTTGGAGGATCCACAGCATCACTGCAACCATGCAGAAAACAGTAGTCTCAGCAAGCTCGGCGGGAGGGAGAGAGGGACCCAAACCCATCTCAACCCTGCAAACACCTTGTGCACATGTGTTAGCATATTTTCACAAATATTTTCAAGGGTGTTAGCACTCCACTAGATCCTAAATGCATATGCAATGAGTTAGAGCATCTAGTGGCACTTTGATAACCGTATTTCGATACGAGTTACACTCCTCTTAATAGTACGGCTATCTATCCTAAATGTGATCACACTCACTAAGTGTCTTGATCACTAAAACAAAATGGCTCCTATATTTTATACCTTTGCCTTGAGCCTTTTGTTTTTCTCTTTCTTCTTTTCCAAGTTCAAGCATTTGATCATCACCATGCTATCACCATTGTCATGATCTTCGTCATTGCTTCATCACTTGGAGTAGTGCTACCTATCTCATAAACATCTTGATAAACTAGGTTAGCACTTAGGGTTTCATCAATTAACCAAAACCAAACTAGAGCTTTCAACGTCCTCGTCCACTTTCTGCTGGAGGGCTGTGGCCCTACTCTCGGCCTTCCGCCGGAGGTCCCGCTCCATCTCCAGCTCCTTCAGGACTTCGCTGGCCTTCTCATTGGCCGCGGCATTCCTCTGCAGCAGCTCGTCTCGCTCTTTTTTGAGTCTGGCAATCTCCTCTCCATCCAGCTTAGACCTCGCCGACAGGTCCTCGAACATTCCGTGCGCCTCCTCCGCATCCTGACGCGCCTGGGCCTCCCGCTCTCGGACAGTAGCAAGCTGGGCGGCCAAGTCTGCTCGCAGCCGGGCCTCCTCGGAAAGGCGATCCCTCTCCGCCTTCTGTTCGCGGAGGAATTGGGATTTATCCCGGCTACGAGCAACAAGAGTTTGAGGAGGAAGAAGACTGATATCAGGAATACGAGAACACAAAAACACATGAAGAAAGAAGAAAGTCCAGAAAATACCTGAGTGATAGGGATAACGATCTCACGGAGGGCTCCTCTGGCCTGGTCCAGGGCGTTCAGCATGGTCGAGATCCCGATGTCAAGACCCTCCCGCTCCATGCTCTCGGAATGATCATCGAGCGAGAAAAGAGCCGACGTCGGGTCCTGAGCATCCATCCACTGGAGCGGCGGCTCTCCCCTCGCAGGGGAGCGGTTTCCTCCCGACAAAGGGGCCGGTGGCGGCTCCCTCCTGACCCTGTGCGGCACCACCGCCGCACTCGAGGACCCTCCGGCTGGACCCTCCTCCGTTTGGGCCGCTTCGAGCGCCACGGGTGGATCCACATGGGCGCCTGGCGACGCGGATTGCACCACGCCCTCGGGTGCCACCACGACCGCGTCCGGCTGATCCTGGCTTGGCGCAGTCACGACCACCGTCACTGGCGGTATGCGGTCCTAAGCCGGCTGTTCCACACCCGCCACGGAAGAGACCGCTCGCTCAGTAACCTCCGCGGGTGCGGGAGCCACCTTGGACGCCGTCGGTTCGGCCAACGCGGCCCCGACATCGGCACCACTCCTGCCCGAAACAGGGGTGGCTCCAGGCGACGCCGTCTGTCCCACTTGAAGGGCGAGACTCTTCTTGGGCGCCAGCCCCAGGGGGTGACCCGTCCGCAAGAACCTGCGCAAAGGTAATAAACCGTTAAGTCAAAATAAAAATGGAAAAAGGATGAAAACAGAGGAATCAACAGCTTACGTTGACGTCCTCGGCGGTGAAGCGTTTTGGGGATGGATCCCCGGACCCGCCACAGCTCATCCGGGCGGGACCGTTTCATGCCCGCCTGCTCCGGGCGGGGGTTCATCTCGCCGGCGCGCCCCGAGTCGCTCCTCTCCATCGTCTCGTCGGGCGCGGCACGGAGCCGTCCCCTCCGTCGTCTCACGGTGGTGCACACGAGCGAGCTCCCTTCATCGTCGCCTCGGGGATGGCGGCGGTGTTCGCCCTTCCCCATCCACCGATCCTGGGCCGGCACGCCGTGCGAAGAGGCGGACTCGCCGGCCTCCACTGACCTCATCGATCCACTTCCCTCCGCGTGGAAAGGGAAGGGCCCCTGCACGGATGGGTGGCCACTCGTCAGCGTGTCCTCGTCCTCCAGGACGCCCCAATCCACGTCGACGGCTACCTCGTCGTCATCATCATCATCATCATCATCGTCATCCTCACTACTCACGTCCTCTCCCGATCCCGTGCCTCCTGCTTCAGTCGTTTCGCCTTCTTCATCTCCTCCTTTGCCTTCTTGTCCCGCTCGGCCGCGAGTCGATTCGCCGCCGCCACAACCTTGTCCTTCGGCAGCAGGGCTGGGCTATCCTTGAAGACTAGCCCCCTCGGCTAGCCCCAACATTACAGAAGCAAGTGTTAAAAGAGGGAGATTCAGGAGAAAGAAAAGAATGCGGGAGAAGAGGGCTTACGAATTCGAAGAACCCAGGCTCCGGCCGCATTGGAGGATGCCCGGGCACGGATACACGATGTCGAGGACCTCGCCGGCGGAATCTTCGTCGGCTCCGTCGCCTCCTTGATACGCTGCGCCACTTCCGAATAAGGGGCGCCTCGTCGCGAAGCACCGCCCCTCGAGCGATATCCCGGGCATCATCCGATGATGAGGGAAGCCTACACGCGCCATCGGTGGTGCCACCCTCCTCGCGTGGTAGGCACCGATAATCCCCGACCCTTTACACCCCGACCCTTCGTGGCATGGAGGGCGGAGAGAAGGTCGGAGATGTGCTTCTTGTCTTTAGATCTCGACGCCCTGACCCCACGACGCCGGGCATCCACAATAAGACGTCCGGTGTATTTAGGTAGGGTGGCACTCACATCATCCCTAACATAAAACCATCTGCGAATGCCATCCCTTGTTGGATGTAGCCAGACGCATGTACGGGTAACCTTCGATCGGGTATGGCGCGGTGAATCTTTGGCACACCCCATCGGGCGCGTCCACTTCTTTTCCCCCAATCTTCCTCTTGACGGACTAACGCTAAAGAAATACCGCCACAGATCAAAATGGGGATCGATCCCGGGAAACCCTCGCACAGGCAACGAACGCCGCCATATCTTTGAATCCCATTGGGAGTGAGATCTGCAGCTCTACCTCATAGAAATCTAATAGCCCCGAAGAAATCTATGCGCTGGTACCCGAATCCCCGCTCATGGAAGATGGCAAAGGAGACAACATACCCTTCAGGCGGCACCGGCTCACCCTCGTCGCCGGGGAGTAACCACTCCTAGATGGCGGATAGTGGGCGGAGAAGGCCACGGCGGACGAGGCCCTCCAGACGCCGGGAAGTGATGCTTGATCTCGCCCCACAACTCCATTGAAGCGGGGAGGGGAAGGGCGGTATGAGCTTAACGGGTAATTTGAAACACAAACGCAGCCGGTCGACGGTGGCGATGCGGGCGCAAGAGGTGGGAAGATTGGCGGCGGATGTTTTGAGCGCAAAGGAAGGGGTGAAACACGGGACCCTGGGGGCGAACCCCGCGGTTTTATAGGGGGCGACGGACGCGAGAAGGGCAACCGTCCGCCTCGATCTCCGGGTCTGCCACGCACGCCACCGCGTCACGTCGCGGGACACGCGCAGCAGCAGTCCCTATCCTCTCATCCCAAAAAAATCTCGTGACGGTTCGCCTTCCCCAAGCGAATCCGGACTCTCCACCCACCTAGGAAGCACAAGCCACAAAGGCCGTTTCTTTTCTCTTTGGCCCACCTAGGGCCCAGCAACTCGCCGGCCGGCCTAACTAAGAAGGAATCCACGAACAATCCGCCACCAAGGGCCGAAGCACCAGTGAGGACGGCCCCGAATCAGTCCCGAAGAAAGCAGGACGCCACGACCCACTCGGAAAAACACCCAGTTGATGAAAAACCGCGAAGGGGCCGATCCAACCCCCCGGGTGACTCTACTCGAGTCACCCGGGGGCTCGGGGGCTACACCCATCGGGTGCGCTCGCGCGCACCCTCCGGCAAATTAGCTTCAACGAAATCAGAAACACCCTCCAGGCGGTTCTACCCGAATCACCTGGAGTCTCGGGGGCTACTGTCGGGGACCTAATACCAGGGTACCCCGGAAGGTGGAACCGATGACCATCGAACGTGAAAAACTTCTAGATGCATAAGGGCTCCATGTCATCCCTTGTTCGAGTGACAGGAGTTCGGTTCCGCCTCGCCCGACACCTTCGGGACGGGCTCGGTCTCGCCCGAGGGCCGAGGGATAAACTCCGCCTCGCCCGACGCCTTGAGGGCGGGCTCGGTCTCGCCCGAGGGCTGAGGGATGAATTCCGTCTCGCTCGACCCCGGAGGGGCGGGGTCAGCCTCACCCGACGCCTTTGTAGGATAACCCTGCCTCGCCCCAAAAGCTCAAGGCTAATCTCCGTCTCGCCCGACGCCTATAGGGCGGGCTCGGTCTCGCCCGACGCCTATAGGGCGGGCTCGGTCTCGCCCGAGGGCCGAGGGATAAACTCCGCCTCGCCCGACGCCTTGAGGGCGGGCTCGGTCCCGCCCGAGGGCTGAGGGATGAGTTCCGTCTAGCCCGACCCCGGAGGGGCGGGGTCAGCCTCACTCAACGGCCCAGAGCGAGCCTCGCCCTGATCGATATCTATCCCTCATAATGATGGGTACAGGACGAGACAAGACGTTCGGGTCAACCATGGCTCCAACGACCATACCCTGCGCCCTGGCAGGAAAAGGACTGCCGAGGAACAGCAGATCGATGCTTTAGGACCTTCCGGGCGCCGCAGAGCCCAAAAGGTATATACAGTGCGTGCACCTCGCCTCAGAGTTGTAGGCGCCGCCGCCAGGCTACGGGGACACGGAACCCAGCGAAGATATCGACAACCGCTACGCTCCCAGAAAGGATTTGCTATCTCCACGAGCGATGGGTATTCCGTCACCACACGGTGGACCCGAGGAGCGGCGCCCGCTTCCCGACCCTCAGGTCCTCCCGGTCGAAGGCCTTGACCACGGCGTTACACGGATCCCGACCCCGCATTCTCCCAACGAGGACTCACGAGAACGGTAAGGCGTGCGGAGCAAGGCCGAGGAGGCTCATAAGTCAAAACCATCAGATCTGCAGGCCCATACCTACTTGTGAGGCGTGATTCTCGTGACTAACCTGACATCCTACAGAGACATCGACAACATTGTAAACACTTATCTTCCTTCGCACTCATCGAGTGGAGGACCCGACCAGTGAGCGTGAGCCACAAGACTAAGTAGAGTCGCGTCCTGGAGCCCTTACCCTTGTAAAGCCCGGCCCTTCATCTATAAAAGGGCGCTTCTTCCATCAAGGGGGGAAAAAGAGGACCGAACAATAGAACGCACTCACACGCATTCAAGCAGCTACGAAGCTCTTGACCACCTTTCAATCCTTCGATCAGAGACTTGGGACCAGTCCCTCTCTCGGCAGTTTGTATCCCTTACTACAGATCGTTACGGTGCTAATAACACAAGCAGCAACAAACTGGACGTAGGGACGTTTCGCCCGAACCAGTATAAATCCTGTGTCCTTTAGCGCACCATCCGAGCCTAACGCGCATTACCATAAATTTACTTGTCGGTGCTTGTACGAAACACCGACAGTATACGGCTTGGCATCCGGGGCTCTTCGTTTTTTAGCGGGGCTCTCCGTTCGCTTAGCGGGGCTCTCCGTTCTGTTAACGGGGTTTTTTATTTTACCAAGTTAAAAATGCCAAACTCTTGGAGATGTATTGTTTTTTTACTTGGCATATAATTTTGGGAGTTGGCAAATCACAAGATTTGCCAAGTAAAATTTAACAAACTCTGGGAGATGCTCTTAGGATTGAATATCCAGACTTCGGCAACAGTTTTAGGGTACCTATAAAAGTTGGTAGAGCTAGAACAGTACAATCTTCAACTCAGATTAAACACAGTTGACAGTCTATCATGAAGGAAAAAAGAAAATCTACTAGTAATAATCAATACATTCCGAAATAAAACCGGAACACACGAATAATGTACATTAATTAAACACGACCACATGAATGAAGCTGACCGAAACCTGCATCAGTACGGGAGCCTAACGTTGAGCCTTCTGAGCCAGATGGAGTGCAGCACCATGCGGATCATGTCGAACCGCTGCGCCGGCCGGTGCACCACGAAGTGCCGCTGCGCCTGCAGCACCCTGGCGCGCAGCACCCGGTACCTCCGCTCGGACACCCCCTTCAAGATGTCTTTCAGCTCCGGTATCCTAGCCGGCGGCACGGTCACCGACATCTTGCTCCAGTCCAGCACGTCGCTGAACGGCGGCGGGTACCCATCCGAGATGATGACGGGCACGCAGCCGCTGAACACGGACTCCACCACCCTGGGGCTGGCCACCTCAAAGCCGCTGGGGCAGAGGCAGAACCGGGCCCTGGCCATGAGCGCGTGGTAGTCCTGCCCCTTGGAAAGGTACTCGTGGATGTCCATGTCCGGGTCCTTCCTGCCGAGCCAGTACCCCAGCAGGGCCCTGCGGATGTGCCCGTGCATGCCCCCCGCGAAGAAGGCGAGCGTGGTGCGGTTCTCGGGCGGGAGGCCGGACGTGGGGCGGCGGAGGAGGCCGTCGCCGAGGTTCACCTCCGGCAGCGTGGCGTCCTTGCGCGGGCGGAAGCCCTCGGAGGTGTTGGCGTTGCACAGCACCCGGATCGCGTTGGTGTAGAGCTCCCGGTTCGCTTCGGAGACCAGCGGCGCCCAGTCGTGGCACGAGACGATGACGTGGTCGGCGCCGCGCGACCTGTTCCAGTAGGGGTACCTGTCGGCGACGACGTCGACGTAGTCGGCGAGCGCGCGGCGCATGTGCGCCATGTAGGCCGTGGTGTTGCGCCGGTAGAATGGGTAGATGTACTGCACGAGATTGCAGACGCTGACGGGGAGCAGGAAGGCGTAGGCCTCGCCGGGGTGGCGGGCGGCGAAGGGGTTCCGGGGGTCTTCGATCTCCTCCAAGAATTGGCCCTCGATGGAGTAGATGTCGGCGGACGGGCCGAGGTGCGTCAGCGGCGGCTCTCCTTCCCTGTACGTCCATATCTTGAACTTCCTCTCCATCTCCAGGTAGCTCCTTGATCCATGACCCGATCCATGTCAAGATTGGATTTTTATTGATTTGTGCACGACGGTATATACGCTTTATTTGTGTCTATGTAACAAAAATTCCTCTATTTGCGCATGTCGATGAGATCCGGCCATGCATCTGGGAGAACTAATAAGAGAAGTACAGTAACGCATACGTGTTTACCTGTGGAAAGCTCTGGGGTTTCGGTAGATGGCGCCTCGCGGCACGAAGGCGTCGCCGACGTCCTTGAAGCTCCGCCGAGCGCTCTCCACCGCCGCCGTCACCGGGGCCTCGCGAGCCGCGCGGCGGATGGCCGCCCGAGACCGGGCCAGGGATTCCTCGACCGGGCCGACGCTCACCTGATGCACACGTACGACGTAGAGAGACGATCAGATCAAACGCGACCAACGACGATTTCCCGCAGAGCTGCATGATCTCCATGACGCCGCGCGCGTTTGTACACGGGCGTCGTGCACGTGTCACGTTACCTTCTCGGCGAGTTGCGCGCTCGCCGGCGCCTTCTGGGGCTCATGCGGAACGTGCCGCAGGAAGTGCTCCCGGCGGCGCTCCCGGACGATGCTGGCTGACTCGGCGCCGCCGCCCAAGAAGGAGGGAGGCAGCAGCACGAAGGCTGCGGCGAGGAGCGCGGTGGCGAGGAGAGGCATGGCGATCGCAGCCACGCGGCCGCCGTTCTCCATGGAGGCACGGACGCGGGTTCCCGAGCTGCTCTCTGATCGCGTGGTCGGCTACTCCAACGACCGCCCGCGCATGCTGCACCAGGGCCTCTTGACTCGGAACTGCGAGTCCAGCCCCGCTGGTAAAATGCGCACGCACGCAGTCCTCGTTGCGGGAACAAATTAAAGGGGAGTTTAGCGAGAGTTCGTTGCTAACAGAAGCTGCTGCCGCGCGCGGGCAATCCGGATTTCGGGATCTAAATCTACTACACCCGCTGCATGCGCCGCGCGAACCGTGCAGCGCAGCCTCGATCGGCAGAGGAGCTTCGTTCCCGGCTGATCTTGCACGCACGGTACAGTCGATGGAGTCGGCGGCAGCCAACGACGAGGGCGTGCGTGCGCACCGCACCGCACACGCGACGCCGTGTACGGCAGGTGAGTTGTAGTTTGGTAGTACACATCTTTGGTTGATGCTGGGTCGACGCAAATATACATGGAGAATTCTGTTGCTAGTAACACGAAAAATGCTTGGTTCAACGCAACTCTCGTGTTTTGCGGACGTCGTTAAGTTGAGGCGTTGAGCTGCTGGAACAGTTGGGTTGACCACGTTAGCAAGAAACAGGACTGGGAACCATACATCACTATTCCTTTTGAATGAATGTCATTATGTAGTTTTTTCTATGCCGTGCTGTTCGTATCGTGCTAGGGATCCCACCGAACATTTTTTTATTTTATTTACAGTTTGATCAAAGTTTGGGGTCAAAGAGAACTGGCAGCTTTGACAGTCACCGCATGTTTCTGTTGGGCAATTCGGTGGCACCAAAAATATTCGAGCATTTTCATGAGCCTATCTTAAACTTACTCTCTATATCATTATTTACGAGAGTAATTTGAATTAAAATTGCTATCTAAATCTTTTCACCCTTCAATATTCTCTATATCTTATGGACACTCTACAGAGCCAGTCATACTCTCCATCTTTGGCTAGCGAAAAATCCAGAATAGATAATGTTTATATTTGGAGATCTAATTAAAAAAGTTGTTGAAAGGTATTTTTAATCAAAATCTCTAATCCCATCAATTACTAAAGATATAAAGAGGCTCTTAAAGTTGCTCTAAGAGGAGTAAACCACTAACCTTCTTGAGGAAACGCACTCAGAGCAACTCCAGTAGAAGTCCTCAAATCAAAGCTCCTACTTTTGATTTGAGAGTTTCTCTTACTTTTGATTTTTTAGGGTCTAATTTTTTTTATCTACTCTAACAGGAGCTCTCAAATCAGAACCTTCAATTTTCACTTGAGTAGACACTAGCATATGGAATCCACTCGTCATTAGGCCATACCCACTTTGGTTGCACTTAACTGAGCTATTTAGGGGGGGCGGGGGGGAGAGATGAGGCGAAGAAGGCCGAAGACAGCTATGGTGGCATGAGGCAAGGAGCAACGAGGATAGCACAATGGGGTCCTTGCCGGGTGAGCCACACCGAGAAGGATAGGGCGACGACACAGTAGAAAACCAGGACAAAGAAAGGATGCACGATAGTGAGTTGGCAGCGAAAAAAATCTCGGGAATAAATAGAGAGCTCCCTAGGACCCATGGGAGATGGGGGTGAGGAAGAGATTTAGAGGGCTCCATAGAGTAGGGACTCGAGTTAAGACCTTATTGGATTAAGTTTTTTTCTCTAACACCAAAAAGTAGAGTAGAGGTCCTGTTTAAGGTCTCGTGGAAAATGCTCTTATTACACAAAAGAGTGAGGAGATGGCCGCATGAACGTCGGGGAGAGGAGAGGCTGACGCCCAGCAACTGGTGTCAGTTGAGTGATCAAGGCTTGCTTCAAACTCTGTTGCGCTTTTGATAGTTTGGGAGATTTTGTTGTTGTTGTTGTTGAGAATGATAGTTTAGGAGATTCGGGGGAGAGAGCAGAGTTTTTGGTTGGAGCAGAGTTTTTGGTTGGGGACTGAAAACAGCTCAAATGGCATATGTGATGAGGCACGCGTAGTTAGTATCTTAGTCTTAGCCTCTTGGCTAACGCCTAATAGAACAAGTAAATTAATAAGTCCAGATAAACCAGGGTGCATTTGCCTGGAAGACAATACCCGGAAGGCCTCCGTCCAAACAGACTCTTAACTGGGCCAGGTCCGTTTGGGACCTTTGCTAGGAACTGTTTTGCCTTGCCAAGCAAGGATACCCAGCGAGACTGCAAGATTTGGCTCGAGAGCGATTGGCTCACCGGCCTGGGCAAGGATCTCGGTTTCTGTGCCAACCAGGTGAAGCAAGGCTAGGGGAGGCGAGAATTGAAAACCAAACGCACTTTCGTAAAAAAAAAAACTCCCACGGACCCACGCCTAAACAGGAGACTCAACCCTCCGTCACTCGACACCACACCTCAGGCCTGTTTAGATTCCATGATCTAAATTTTAACAATTAAACTTTAATTAATTTAGCTTTCAAATCAATTTAGCTCCTAAGACTCCAAACATATGGTCTTAAATATTCTAAAATTTAACCAACCACCGTTCCTTCATTAGACTAGTGGTTGCAGAGTGAAAAGCGAAAACCATGAACAGCAGCATACGCGAGAGAGAGAAAATAAGCACTCAGTGCTCATTTAACACCAACATAACGCGCGCTTAACTCCAATTTAACCAAAGATAACAAGATCGACACACAAGCATCCCAGATGGCGAGGAAGCGCGATATTTACAATTCCGTCTCTTCCCATCGCGCCTTGTAGGGTGCACGCACGGTGCAAAGCAAGCAACTGCCATTTATTCGGCATCACCCGAAACGAACGAGCTCGCTGACAGATAGCAGAGCACCTACCGCTCGTTAAAACCATTGTGGACTTATATATGCCTGCCTTCAATTCAGGCTCTTCCAAGATACTTATCTACAGAACAGCATGCTCGAACCTGATGATTATTTACAGCAGGTACCAAGTGGAAAGCTACTCTGGCCGCATGCTGATCAGATTTGGCAGCATTGTTGCTCGGAGCTTCCTCATCTCGTTTGCTGTGACCCGGGTGGAGTCTAGAGACAGTGAACTCAAGTTCTGCAGGTCATTCAAGTGTTTGAGACCAGCATTGGACACCCGAGAGTTTGACACGTTCAAGTTGACCAAAGCAGTCAGGCCTGTAAACCAGATGGCCATGAGATTCAAACTGTAAAAAAGAAGTGAACTTATTCCAGCATGGAAGAACAATACCAGAGATCAGCTCCAAGGTTTTGTCTGTCAGATTAACATTTTGAGAAAGATTCAGCAGCGTCAGAGCATTCAGATCCTTGATGTTCTTCACTCCAGCATCAGTAACGAACCCACCACAGATTTCAAGAGAAAGAAGATTCTTAAAATCTGCAACAACATAAATTGTGTCAAATGATGTGGCCTGCTTAGGCACATAAAAGATAACTAATTTCAAATAATGTATCCTCAATATTATCTTCAAATAGGAACAGGGATGCCTAAATAACATGACCAACAAGCTCGCCTACTCAACAGGGCCCAGCAAAAGGTATTTCTGTATAGTGCTTCAGTCATTTTATATACTCCTATATGACCACCACAACCAAGTCATAACAGACAAATGTAGAGTGCCATGTTTTTTTTATAACATAGTGTGCCAAGTTAGTTTGGGTATTGTTCCATGAAACTCACCTGACAAACAAGGCTGGTATTACTACATAGAAGATTATTGACTACTGAAAGGTATAAACTAGCTGTGACTAGCCTCTGGATAGAACACATTGATAGCTTAACAACCAATTTTGCAACTGAAACTGATTTTGAAGTATGCTCTTACATCTGAAGCAGTTTGTGCCATAGTCAGTTATGCGAGCTCCAAAAAGGTCAAGATGAGTCAGCCTGGTGAGACCTGCATCATCCAACCCCATATATTAGTGGGAACTACCAAATACCAGTAGTATACCATAAATGGAACAATAAGGACCATGTACAAACAATCCATGCATGATACATACTTGTAAGTGCTGCCAGGCCAACATCAGTAATTTGGCGATTGTCAAGGTTAACTGACTTCAGCGAATTCAACATGGAGATCTTCTTCATACCAATGTCCGTGACCAAAGTAAATGAGAGATTAATACTTCGCAGATTACAAAGACCTGCGGAAATACATGGAGATCTTCTCCATTAAACAATTTAACGACTAGAAAAAAACAATGCATTTATAAAGCATGCCACTGAAATAATGCATTTAGAAGTGAAAAAAAGACGCACAGTGAAACAAGTAAAAGATGAGTTTATAACTCTAATATTCACATAATCCATGTTTTGTCAAGAGACACACAGTTTCCACATAGGAAGTTAGCAACTTTGCATCACAAATTAGAAGTACAGAACATTCTCTTTTTATACTTGGGCGAAAGCACATACATTAGTATATTGCTGTCAAAAGCAACCCTACAACATTCGTCAAGGGTTCTACCATGTATAGGATTCAATCAATCTAAGAGGTAAGAGCTAAAAAAGATTAGTTCATTTTTTCAGAAGTCAAGACAAACCAGATAGATGCTGGAGTCCATTGTTTCCAACTTCAGTATCAGAAAGCTCCAAGCTTTGCAGTAGCACAAGACCTGCATTAACATAGGCTCATAGTGTTACAAGCACAAATATTCCTAAAAGATTTAAGAAGGAACAGACATTCACAGACACAGATGTATGAATTCTGAGTCAAACAAATAGTTAACATATCATTGACGAAAACCTGCAGGAATATAGGCACAGAATGGAACGAGTAAACAAATTGCAGAGATGATAAAAAGAACTGTACCTCAAGGATGCAGTAGACTCAAAACCAGTAAAACTGTTACTCACCTTTCAGATGTGATAGACCATCATCTCCAACCTTGCACGAATCCAAATTCAGAGACTCCAAACTGATCAATCCTAGAAGCAACAAAATCACAAGAATTTAACGACATTGAAGTTCTACTCTACAATGATTTTCTGGATTTTCAGTATGCATGGATATAAATGTACGAGTGCCCATTGGAAATCACATGCTT